GCTTTGTGACCTTGGACAACTTGCCTGCCTTCTCTGGACCTCAGTTTCTTTATCTGTAAAAAGGAGGGGATTGGACTGGTGGGTCTCCCAGGGGAATCCATGGTTCTAGCCACCCACTTGACCCCTTGGTCCTCCATCCATCACCCCACCCTCCCATTCCCCAGGGCCCACTGGGAAGATCTCACCTCATCCCCTGCCCAGGAAGAGGCAGGGGGGAGCAGGAGCTGGAGAGTCCCTGGGGGGCACCGTCCTGCCCCAAGCCAGGCACACAATGAGGACGGCCGGGCCCTGTGGGCTCATCTTCACCCCCCTCTAACCGGGTCTGCGGCTGCGCTTCCCGGAGATGGTACAGGCTGTCACTCTTGGCGCTGCCCTTTAAAGAGCGCTCGATCCCTGGGGGGGCTGGTGACGCCAGCCCTGGGTCCTAGCAGCAGCCTGCTTGCCCTGGAGTTCAGTGGAAAACGTTTTTCTAGCCCTTTAGGTCTGGGTCACTCTCTGGGATGAGGGGGACGGGTCAGTCCAGGCATCAAGAATAGAAGCACAGACCCTGAAAGGCTGATGGGCTCCCGAGACATCTGGGACACCTGGTCCACTCTACACCTGAACAAGAATTTCTTCACATCCTACTCAAGAGGTTCTCCATCCTTCACTTGGAGACCTTCAGTGATGGGGAGCTCATTCTCTCTCGAAAGCCCGTCCCCCAGTTAGGACATTTTTCCTTCTATTGAGTTGAAATCTGGCCCTCTGTAACTTCAGGCTGTTGCCCTGAATTCTGCTCTCTGGGGACGAGCGGACAAATGCAATCCTTCTTCCGGATGACAGCCCTCAGATACCTGAAGCTAAGCCTCCAAGTCTCCCCTCCTTCAGGACAGATACCCCAGTCCCTTCCACTGCTCCTTGGGAGCTAGTCCCCTCCCCAGTGTGATCGCTCTCCCTTCACCACATTCTAGCCCCACCTCTGCCACTGGCAGGCTGCATGCCCTTGGGCTGTTCCTTCCTCTCCAAGGGCCTCAGTTATCTCCTCCGTAAACTGGGGAGAATAATCCCCAAGCTCTCTCTTTCCCAGGATGGATGTCTAGGTGGATCATATAAGAGTGGGAATGCCCACATGAAAACACAAAGCCCCCCCCCCACACACACACACAAGGGGAGAGTTGGGATCATTCGGTCCCTGCCCAGAGTAGAAAACTGAGCCCCCCTCAGTTAATCAATTGCCAACCATTTATCCATCACCTCCTACTCTGGGTTAGGGGTTGGGGATACTGACACAGAAGTGAGATACGCCCTCCTGTAATGAGCTCACTCTCTCCCATCAAGCTGTCAGAAGAGAGATCAATAAGGTCCAGGTGGCTCAGCTTCCCTTGACCCGGCTCAAGGAGACAGCAAACTGGGGACAATAGCCTGGGCAGATGAAAGGGAGAGAAGATTGCTAACTGCTTCTCCCCAGGAGGATCTCAAAGCACCTTGTCATAGGAGTTAGAGTTGGAGTAGCACTTAAAGATTATTTAACCCATCTTCTCTTCCCCCCATTTTACAGATGAGAAAACTGAGGCTCGGGGATGGGCGATGACTTGTATAAGTTCATACAGGTGGTAACAGAGCCAAATGCTCGATTCCAAGTTCAGCGCTCTTTTCATCGTACAAATACACACCGCCAACCTCCTACCCCCTGGTCACAGATGCCCCCAGCCCAGGGCACCATCACTTCTGACTGCCCAGGAAGGGAGAGACCGTGGGGGAGAGAAGGGCTGGAAAAGGAGAGGCAGAAGCAAAGACGGGCAGTCAGCCGGAGAGACTTTATTCCTTCCTGCTTTATTCACAAGCAATGCACAGGTGCTGGGCCAGCCTAGCCTCGTCCAGGGGAGGGGTCCCACCACCCCAGGGGCTCTGGCCTGGGCCCTGGCAAGCTCAGAAGTGTAGCAGCAGCAGGTAGCGGAGCCGGCACTGGCTCTCCTTGTAGATCAGGTATTCGCTCTGGGAGAACGTGGACTTCTGGAAGTCAGGCACGGGCACAGGCGGGCCTTGGGGCACCATCACCTTGTGCCCTTCCAGCTCGAGCGCCACGTCCTGGCGGGGGTCTGTGGGGGCAGGGCCAGCCAGTCATTCCCACTCCTCTCCCGCCTCTGGCCCCAGTCCTGCCCCTCCTGCTGCCCAGAGCTCCCTCAGCCACGGGCTTAGAGAGACTCTGGGTTCTGGAACACAAACACGATTTAGAGCCCTAGAACTAACTGCACCATCAGAGCTGGGAGGAACTACAGAGAGAAGCCAATCCAGCCCCTCTATACACATGGGAAACTGAGGCTCAGAGGAAGAGAAATGGAAACAGACTTTCCAGCTCCTTCCCTCCCCCCGGGCCCTCTGCCTCCTCGGGTGTCTGTCCCGCCTTTAGGTAAAGTTCAGTTTCCCAGCCTTCCCTCCTGCCCTTTCTTCCCTTCATCTCTATCCCTCCTCCCTAGTTTCTGCTCCCCCACCCCCACCCCCACCCCCAATCCTGGATAAGTCATTTCAACTACAATAATATAAATGAAAAGAACAGTAAGACAAAGTCAAACGCAGCATCTTTAAAGTGACCCAGCTTCGCTGAGAGAAAAGAAAGCCATAAGCCACTGTCCCTTTTTGGGAGGGGTTGGGGGGGTCCTATGGGTATGGAGTGGTGCATACAAGCATGCATTCTGTTGCCACTTAGCTGTGTTTCCTTGTTAGAAGGGCTAGGGGAGGGTGTATATCCAGATAGGATTGATGTCAAACAAAAGGCACCCATAAAACTTAATAACCTAAACTAAAAAGGAAACAATGTGAACTATTACAAATGGTTATGGGTGGTTCAATGGGCATTTCTACCTCTGGCACCTCTCTGAGACTGTCACTTGCCCATTCAGGGCTAATCTCCCCAGTGGGAGAGCGACCTCCAACGAGAACTCTCTACACCATGGATTCCCCTGGGAGACCCACCAGTCCAATCCCCTCC